TTCCTGCAATTCGGCGCGATTCCGGCTCCAAAGACATAAAAATACGTTAACTGACGAGTGGAACGCTTGGGCCGTTTTTATTTTCATGTTTTGTGGGAATGCGCGGCCTCCGAGGGATATTGCAGAAGCAGCACAGTTGCTCTTGAGTTCTAGCCCTCGTCATCATCTTCGGTTCTTATTTTGTAGCACCTCAAATGTTATCCGCATCAGGGGTGCGTTTTATTTGTATTCCAAACGCAATTTAGTAGCACTTGCAAAGTGCCCAAAGAGCCGCGCGCGCGCCACGCGCGAACGTTGTTAACGTACAGTCGTCATCCTTGCACTTGATAGGGGCGTGTCGGCGAGAAGGAGCGTGCACACTGTTTGAAGCCTTCTCAGCCTTTTCGTTGAAACGCGTATGCGACAAAAAGTGATAGAAAACGAGTAACACGAAGGATATAATACAGTAATGTCACTTCCTGGTTCAACGATTGGTGCAGTACGGGTGCGGACGACCGCGCCGCACGCAATCCGCACTACATGACTATAAGCGCAAAGAAATGACGACTGTAAATGGGAGTCTTCGCCACAAGGGTATTGGGCGGAGTGGGGACGGATTAGCGTGTTCCACGGTTCTGTATCTCCATTCCCGCGCATAGCAAATTGGAAGGGAAACCGCTTATGCTTCGACAGGCTGAGCGGAGCTGATAGTCACTCCAACCAAACATACGTGTGACGTACCATTTGTCTTTGAGGTTCTGTACAGCATACTGTGCTGGTCCAACCAGGACAGGCCTCAGACAGGAATCGATTCGGCGTTGCCCGCTTGTGTATTGAGAGAATATGGGTGAACGTTGCTCATTCGGTATAGTATCGATTGGCATAGGCCACTACGACGGCGCCGATCGATTACCAATTTGCCTGCTTTTGCGCCTATAGGATTGGAGGTAGCGCGTCGACGGGCGTCATCGCGAAGTCTGAACGCTGCTCAAGGAATATGGCTGCAGTCATTACGTTGGTCTAACATGGACGGATAAGTGCAGGTTTATCGAGCATAGGTTCAAGCTAAAAATGTTATCGTTCTCGAATGACTGAAAATCTCCGTTCCAGGTTACCGACTTTTATTTGCATCACTTCTCTTTTGTTGTTACTGAGTGTCAACTGTCTAACAGGATGGAGAGGTACGTCAGTCAAATCCATTTTACAGTCGCAAAGCTTTTTTCTTGGAGGGGGAAGGGAAAGTCGGGAAGGGGCCATATTGAAGCGGGCCCATAATGCTAGTCCCGAGTCGCGTCAGCACGGCGATGGAGGTTTTGCAGCCGTGGTCACGTACGCAGCATTCACACCAGGACCCAATCAATCTAACGTGGCTCGAGAGACCAGACACCGAAGACACAAGAGAACCGAGGCGACAGACAATGATGCATGCAGACAATCAAGTCCAATCTATCTCGGATTTGGTTCCGCCGGGCAGGCAGTGGCCAGAGCTTTGGAAAATTTATTCATCCATCAGTCAGGGGAGAACACTGTATGGAAGCGGAATGACATCAAAATGGCCTATGCAAATCTTGGTCTAGGCCATGTATAAATCCAAATTCCTTGGAAATCTTGAAAACAGGAAATTGTTGCGCGGCAGTTTCTGACCTGACCTGATGCTGACGCCACGTTCATACTTTGCGACTGAGGAGTTTATCCAATTTGGGGAACCCGACGACTTGAGAGATTGCGCGACGACGAAAGTAGTGGTATCGATCTGGCGATTGGGAGAATCAGCGATCCGGCGATTTGAGATCTAGATCGATACTCATACATCATTCGTCGCGCAGTTTCTCGAATCGCCGTGTCTCCCAAGCGCCGAATCTCCTCGCAAAGCATGAAGGTTGGAAAAGGGCTCGATCGGAGCGAGTCTGTGTCCCTCGATCAGTGCTTAGGTTTAGTGGGAACCATGTCTTTCCTCTGGTAGTATCTCTCAACTACTCTGGTCGTCTGCGCTCTCACCACATCCTTGGCCAGGGGATGGTCCCAAAGGCGCGGCCGAGTGTCCAAACTATGTGCGCGCATGGCTTTCGCTCTAATTTTTTAAGTATTTTTTGTTTTTCTCAGTATTTCATTTTTATAATTTATGGTTAATTAATGATCAATAATTCAAGCGGACATTAGCGGTCTCGACCTCTTTCGATCAAAGCGCCCCCAATCGATAAACGGCAATCGTGTCGAACGTGCTGACCAAGGTGGGTCATCCTCGTCTTGTTTATTCCTCTTTTGCTGTTCTTGAGTGCTCTCTCAGAGAATCACCTTTTCAACTATGAATCATCCCGATCATTCATTAATTAGAAATCATTTCACCATCAGTTCCATGTTTTCTCGACTATTCGACCATTTGGACATAATTTCTCTGTTCTTGTTCTCTGTTGTTGGCGTTATTCCAGTATTCTGAAGGATTTCTAGGATTTGGTCCACTGGTACAATATACAGTCAGAAGTTGTTGCCTAGGTCCGCAGTGGGGAAGCTCCGGTGTCCAAAGATGCCCCCACCCCTTCCAGCGTAAGCAGGAATGTGTACATACCAGCTAGCTCGCG